ATCCCTTGCAGACAGGCTCCTCGGTCTAGAGCTACACTAAGACCTCATGGATAACTAGAAACCTCTGGAATTCCCATCAAACCGAATGTACTTGGAGAGGCAGGAGACGTAGTAAGTAGGTTATAAGTGGAGTTATAGGTTATAAGTATCCTAAGTGGAGTTGCCCCAATTACAAGCCTACTTATAAACAACTTACTAAGTCCCCTGGCCCTCCAAGTGACTCTGACCGGGATCGCCTGCTGGCCAGCTGGGCAACGCGTCGGTCGCCTGCGGCGGCAGCCCCGAAGCGCTTGGCAAGGCGCTGGAGCACCTTTTTGGGATGATTTTTGGGCCTTGGGTTTCTTATTTGATTTATATATATATATATATATATATATATATTTTTTTTGTTTTCATATATGTTTATATTTTTTTTGCTTCTATATATTTTTTATATATTGTTGGTTTGTCTTAAGGGCTTCTTTTTTGGGTCTGCACGAAGCATGTCACAAAAGCCCGAGTGGGGTGAGCACGGGTGACGGCTTTTCGACACCCAACCAACCCTAAACCTTAAAACCTAAACCCCGCGGCTGCCTTGCATGCCTGGAAGGGGAAGAACGAGTCGACCTCAGAGCAGTCAGGGTTTGGCGCTTGGCTGGGGCGCCTTGGTAGTTAGAAAATATGTTGGGGCGAAGGTGCTGCAGATTAAAGAACCTTTCAAGAAACAGAAACGTAATAATTCAGACCCCAGTATTTCACAGTCTACGGCAGAGAGTAATGAACAATCCTGACCTGACCACCGCGCACACCAAGGACCCATATAATGCACATACTTTCCCCAGAGAGCCCCAATACCACTTAATTAAGGAATATAGCTTAAATCGTAATATGAAGCCCTATATATTTTAAGCCATATTCCTTAATTACGGGGTATTGGGCTCTCTGGGTCTCACAGCCCGACCTCAATGATGCCAACGCATTTGTGGGAGATCAAATGTTGCTTTAGAGAAGAGGGACGCATGCTTCAGTTCTTGCGGGGTTACGGGTTGAGGGATATAGACTCAAAGACCGTACTATCAAAGGCTTCGCGGCTGTATGAGCCGTAGGGTACATCAACTCGAACTTCGAACACCCTCAATCGCAAGTTCGGACCAACAGCCTTAAGGTCTGATTAACGTTTTCTGCCGGTTTTGGAGTGTGGGGATCTCCACTACCCTGAACCCTAAGCCCTAAGCCCCAGCCCTAAACTGCCATCGCCTCGGATGCGACCACGCGCAGGGTGGGCTCCAGGCCTTCGAAGAGTGTGAGAGCCCTCAAAGAGAAGCCCTTCGATGACTTGCTGATTTGTTTAGAGCTTAGGATTTAGGATTGCTGAAGGTTCTTGAGTTTAGGCTTGGGGATTGCCGAAAACCACCACAATCACCGCAACCAAGGAACACAGCAGCAGCAGCAACATCAAAGGACGCCACTCGAAACCATGCACAGGCAGTAAACTGAAACAACATGAACCAGCTCTAGATATACCACACGATAGCAACAACTGCAGCCTTAGCAAAACCAGTGATATGCACCCCAATAGCGATAGCGATAGGCAGCAAGAGTAACAGGAAGGACAACGGAAACATCGGCAATGATCGCAGCAGCAGCAACCTGTACCACATCACAGCACGACAACACATACGCAGAACACTCACGCACGCAGTGACGAGTGCGCACATCGTCAACCACCCAAGTCAGAATAACTATAAAATCAGGGCGTTCATAATTGGAGCGGGGTTTGGTACCCGAGTACTGAGGGATGGTATCGGTAAACGTAGCTAAGGCTGCATGACTGCCCATCCGAATGGTCTTTTGTGCAGATGTCACGCTCTTTGACGGCGGGGGTGGCGACTCTGATTACGGTTATTTTAATTTCATGTTTTTATCGTTACAGTTACTATTACATTGCCATATTGTTGCTACTATGAGTATTAATGTTTTCTTTTGTATGATTATGACTTTTACTCTTACTATTGGATTGGGGGCTGCTTTGAGAACACTGGTTACAATCTGATCTACATCGCCATGCTTTTCGTGTGCTTCTCCATGGAGCACCCTTAAGGTTTAGGGTTCAGGGAGAGACCAAGAAGTCGATCTTCGGGTTGCAGGACAAGGGTCTGTGTGCTCCGATGTCGCATTACAGCTGCTCCGATGAGACACACTGCCGTTCTCCGCAGTTGCATGTGACGGACGTCTGGGACTGGGCACACCACTTCCCGCATTGTCGAAACGCTCGATGAAGGCATGAAGCCCTGCCGCGGCGGGAGGTGTCAGGGCCGCTCAAAAAATCGGGAACTGGGGGCCTAGTGCTAAAGCAAATCCTGAGAGGAAACGCTGCGCAACCCTTATAGAAACCCTAAACAAGTCCGCATGCTCCTTAACCCTGAAAAGAACACCAAAAGACTCCCTAAATACTAAAATAATCCCTAAACCCCAAAGCCTCAACAGAAACACGAACAGCATCCCTAAACCCCTTTCGATCCGAGCAAACAAGTAAAGCCACGCAGACGCTCATCCTCCGAGAGTGGAATCGCCGCCTACGCCCAAGGCTCGCCATAAGGTTTGCAGAGTCCGGTACAAGATCTATAAAGGGTTCATATGGGTCGTTATAAAAATTATGCCCCTTTTTGGGTACCCTGAAGGATAGGTGCCGTACTATAATAGGGACCCAAGAAGGGACCATGATTTTGACAACCAGCCATGTGGGATCAAGGGTTCGTTAGGGCTTCAAGGGTTCGTAGTCAAGGTTCTAGAAGGCTTGTCAGCACTTGCTGTGGAAGGGTTCGTGTTAATCAAGAGCTCTAGGAGGCTGGTAGGGGTCTCTTAAAAAGAGCACAGGAAGGGTTCAAAATTTTAGAACAACTTCTGGGTCCTTTAAGGGGGAAGACAAGGGACACTGGAGGGGTTACTATGCGACATAAGAATGACAAGAAACGACACATGTATTATATGACGGTAGCAAGTCAGAGACTGTCGGCTTGTACTTCTTACCAGACTGATTGAACCTAAACCTTAGGCCCTGGACCCTCAACCCGCCCATTGGATCATCTGCTTTGCAAGATGTCGGAGAACGTGCTGAACGACTGTACAGCGGCACATGAATCTCCACAACATGTAAAATATCTGTCGAGGAATGTGAAAGAAATGCCAGCATGAAGCCTGCAGAGCTTGAACGAGTGAGTGAGACTACAGCAAAATCACACAGAACCGCATCGACCTCAATACACTTTACATCCCATCCCTGAGCTTCATAGCCTCGGAACCTTCAAAACCTGAATAATCCTCACCCTCTATAACCGTGCCAAGCCCAAATGTTGAAGCCCTACAACCCTCAAGCAACTGCTGCAGAGTCGGACCTCAAAGACTCAAACGGCCATCAACTCCCAAATCTAACACAGAGGCGCGTATAAGTGGTTCAGGGTTTAGGGATTTAGGGTTAAGGAGAACAAAGACTCGGACATGTCCTTTCAACCTAAACTCCGGGGAACATCCTATACCTTGGTCGATCGGAGTCGACCACGCGGCTCCTGGAATCAAGAAGAATGTTGGGGATTGCCGGTTCAGGGTTTAGGGCTTAGGGATGAGGGTTACACACACACTCACACACACTCTCTCTCTATCTCTCAATCTTTATCTCTCTATCTCCCCATCTCTTTTTCTCTGTCTCTATCTCTGTCTCTATATTTTTATATATATATATATATATATATGTATATGTATATATATATATATACCTCTCTCTCTCTCTCTCTCTCTCTCCAGCAAGCCTAGGGCCTAGGGCAGCTGTACTCGGGGTGTGTGGCGATGTGCGAGTGCCTGGGTTCTTCACTGGTTCTTCTCTGTCAGAACCCACGAGCTCAACCTCGACATCCTGAAACCCGATAGGGGCCTTAATGATTTGAGGGTTCCTTTAAAGGGGTTCCTATAATAGGGTTTGATGAGGGATCTAGAACAGTGTTCTATAATACCTGAGACCGGGTGTCGATGCTAACACCCCCCCCCCTCCGTCCAAAACAGCCGCACCTGATTGAGTTCATGTTTTACAATAAGGGAATCTAAGACATGATTATCCCAAACTGGTACCAGTACTAATTACATCGCATGCTCCTTGTCAGTAGGATTGCTAACCCCAAACCCGATAACCCTAAACCCCAAAACCTACAGCTCAGCTCCTCCGGATCATCCCGGTCTCGGGGCTCAGGGTAGAAGGTCTGCTTGCCGCCCACATGGCGATACATCTATGGCTTTCGGCTTGAGGGTTTTGAGGTTTCGGGTTGAGGCGGTTGGGGGGGTTGGGGTGTAGGGCATGGTTTTGGGAGTGGAGCAGTGGGGGTCTACTTTCAGAGCCTGGGCCTGTACCAGGGGCCTACATGTGGCAGCTTCATACCTTTTTAATACTGGTGACAGCAAAGAAAGTCATAGCAGCAACAAAGGAAAGGTTGATGAATACTAGTAGGAGACATGCTTGCTCTCTCTCTCTCTCTCTCTCTCTCTCTCTCTCTCTCTCTCTCTCTCTCTCTCTCGGTGCTGCGAGTTGAGTCGAGAGGCCTGCCTTTCTGTGAGTTCTGAGCCCTCAACACCTGCACAACAAACTCCATAGCAATAGGCCTAGGATTTGGGGCCTCATGATGCTGAAAGAAGCCCTGCACGCGACATATTTTTCTGTGCCAAAAAGGCGTAGAGCCACGCAGCTGCGTTGCTTGAGGCGCGGCGGATGCGATGTTGCAATGTAGACAGGCTGTATAGGCCGTAAACCACCCATGAAGCTCTCACAGGTAGCACAACACGTCCTCCATCAAGAAAACACAATGCCGCTACTGTGCACTGTGGCGCGGCCGTTCTGAATCATGGGCCCTCCGTGGCATCCGGCATCAGCAAGGAATATGATACACTGAACCCTAAACCCTAAATACTTGAGCAGGCCAAGCAGCCTGGCGATTCGCAAACACCCCCAAGCCACAACGAGAAGCAATCGTTGCCACCTCGACATCCGGTGAGGTGTCGGCTGCACCTTTCTGAACGTGGAGCTGCAAAAACTCGTAATCCCTGCATCCAAACGTCTTGGCCCATTCAAGCTCAAGGTTTTGGGGGCTCAGGGAGTTACTACAGGGTCCGTTATAATTAGAATAGGGTTATGTTGCAAACTCTGGTATATTTATGATAAGGAACCCTAAGAATAATACTAACTTAAGTATTTACATAGGCCCCTCTAGTACCGACCCGGGCTTCTCTGTGAAGGGCAGCTTCCAGGGTTTGAGGTTTGAGCTTTCGGTGGGGTTTAGGGGTCTGGCATATGCCTGCTGAATTTCGGAGGGCCCCCCTAAGGTAAATTCAATAGGAGGCTCAACCCTTAGCCCTAAACCCAACAGGTAGCAGGCTGCTTCAATTGGCGCTTTGATGCATGACCCCAGATAATCTTAGCAGCGACTCAGCTTGGGCACGGGCTGCTAAACCTTACCAGCCTAAACGGCAAAGAACCGCAAAGCGGTTCTCCACACTGTTAGAAGATTCGTGTTGCCTTTGGCGGACTTCATTTCCGTTACCGTAATCAGAGATCTATAGTCAGTGTTTCATGACCATGGCATCTTAACTTACACTTCTTAACAAGGCTCTCCTGGAATCCGTACAGCCAGCAGTGAGACTACGGGAATACTCATGCCTCAACAAGCTTTGGAATCCGAAGGGTAGTACAGAGGCTTTAGTAATCCCTAAAACCTAAACCTAAGTGGTCTACAATAGCAATAACAAGAGACCAACACCCTAAACCCAAAACCGTTGTGGCATCCTATACTATAACTATGACAAGAACCCATGTGTGTGGTTCATTTGGGGTGACCTGGGTTTCCGCGATTTCGTAGTGTTCAGGGTGTAGAGCATGGCATCATATTGCAACAATGACAGTAACCATAATCAAACTTTTAATAGTCATAGTCATAATAACATTCGTCTCTACATATTACTAAGTGCTGTTACTGTTATTGTTGCTAGTTGTTCTTATGACTATTAAACTATTGTTATTATCATGGTTGTCATTACGGGTTTTATTGTTAGTAGAATTACAATTAATGTCCTGACAGGTCTTCTTCGTATTTGTATGATAATATACCGTTCTTCTCTGTTTACAGATATGCTAACAACCCCTTTATTACGGATAATCGTAATACTAACACTAGAGCAATGCCAGGGTGTCCCCCTGAGTGCCGACTCGCCACCGAACCCGCACACCTTCAGACGAAACCCGAACCGCAAATTATTTTGGGCCCTATACCATAGAACCCTACTGTAGATCCCTTATAGACCCCTACAAGGAACCCTTTAAAATGAACCCCAGGTAATTAATTATTTAGGCCCTTAAAAAATACCCATATTACCCAGACTCGAGAGTCGTGGTGGTCTGAGCTGCAAACCCTCCTCGGGTTGAGGCGAGTCCTCCTCCTCCTCCTCCTCCTCCTCCAAAGACAGGGTCAGGTCTCAGAGGATTGGGGGGCTTTGTGGTTCCTAGGGCTTGGCGTTCAGGGTGTGGGGTTCTAGCATACCAACAAAAACAGCAATGATAATGCCAAACAGTGCGAGTGTAGTGGCCTGATGTTGTCGTGAGATGCTCGTGGAGTCAGCCGCTTCCAGGGTCTGGTGCGACTTTGGCTTCTGGGGTGTTTTGAGCTAAGTTCCTAGCCCCTTACCAGTCATGGTGCCTTGTTCTTCGGCTTCGATACAGGACCCCAAACCAAACCGCGCAAAAGGGTTTTTACGCAGGAGGTATTGGGAATTTGGGCTGAGGGGAACAATTTCAGGGCATTGGCTTTTTGTTCGCAAAGCTTGAAGCCGTATTGTGCTTCAGCTTCCGGGAATGGCTGTGACCTGTAGTGGCGTTGGCAAAATGACGCACAACTATGCAGACAAACAACACCGCGAGCCGAATCTGTGACGAAGTCCTCGTCACTAGGTCCTATAGTCCTACTGTTGATGATATAAATCCTGCATGACCTTAAGGACCCTAAACTATGGGAATTATGGTATATTCCTTATTATGAGCAATGTGTAGATTTATATCATCAACCGTAGTAGCAGTAGTAGTAGTAGTAGTAGTAGTAGTAGTAGTAGTAGTAGTAGTAGTAGTAGTAGTAGTAGTAGTAGTAGTATCTAAAGTGCAGTCAGTGCCACATGCAAGACTGAGGCAAGGCTGGCCTCGACGATGCAAGGGGGGGGGGTGTCTGAAGCACACTATTTCTTCTACTATTACTATTACCCAAAGGCTCCATAGTAGTTCCTTTTGGGATTCCCTTTTTGGATTCTATATATGAAACCCAAAAGGAACTACTATGGAGCCTCTGGTACTACTATTGCTGCTACTACTACTAGTACAGGGTTTAAGGTTTAGGGTTTAGGGTTTAGGTACCTGCAACATCACCAGCGGAACTACACATTGGGTGCACAGCGGCATCATCAGTTGTAAGCGGCATTACCTGAACCCCAAAAGTATGTAGAAGAATGGCCTTGTTTTAATGGGTTTGGGGCTATCATTCTACCTACTTTTGGGGGTCTAGGTATAAGTCTCTCAACCCCGAGCTTACACAATCTCCTCCAGCTGTCGACAGATATCACTCGTCGAATAGAGCCTCGAAAGCCAGGCTCACTCAGAAGTTTCATGCGATTCAGATTCTTCCGCATGAGTTCAGGTAGGTACCTACAAGTCCGGGCTATTCAAGGACGGGTCCTGAGCTTTAGGGACATCAGGCCCGGTTGCCTACGGTTCTTCAAGAGGAAGGATCGAAAACATTCTGGGGCTACATGAAGCTCCAAAAATTGAGCTGAGTTGGTTTAGCGTATATAAGGTGAGCAACTCGAATTAGCAACCCAAGAACCCTGAACTCAGGGGGTGGTTGAGATATTGCAACCAGGCTTATATGGTCTGGCATGTAGGGTTTCGCTGCAGGGCACGAGATTGACGGTCGAGACCGCATAATACCGTCGAGCTTCGATTCAACATCTTGACAGCAAGGATCTTCGGTCTCACTAAAGACCCAAGATTTACCCAACAATTACCGAGATGCACCATAGCTGGCTCAGTGCTCAGCATGACAGACCTAAACCCTAAATCCCTAGACCCTAAGCCTTGAATCTTAGAGACGGCAGCGACTGAGCAGCTCGCCTTCCTCCCTGAGAGAGGACGTGGCAGTGGAAGAAGAGAACCACTCCTTGGAGTGGCATCGATATTTAGAAACGGCAGAGTCCGGTGAGGAGCAACTGATTCGAAGAAGGCTGCCTCACGCATATCGGGTCTTCAGATGAAGGCCAGTGAGCACCGAGAGTTCGCCGGGTCGCGGACGGCAAATGCATGCTTGCAAGGGCGAACAAAGGGCTTGTAAGATGGTACCAACTGTTGAAGATCCGTTGCTAGGTTCTCGACACCGGACATGCGCATGTAAAGATCACGAGTGCAAAAGACCGCGACTGAGTTTTCGGTGCTCACCGAAAACCTTCGATGTTGATTCCCGCATCTTCACACCACGCCCTGAAACATCAAACCTTGCACCATACCAGTCCTTTAATAGTACAGGTTTTATATGCCATGCGTGGGTTTCGGCATTTGGAGCTTCATTGGTGTAGGCATTGGGGGTTTGAGGCATTCGGAGTGTAGCATAGAAGAGCTCTCGTGTGTCATGCAGGTGATTCTCAGCCGGCGCTAAACCGCCACACCCACCCTGGTCTGGCGCTAAGGGTTTAGGGTAACCTCGAGAACACTGAACCTTACACGCTCGGCCTGAATGCCTCGGAAGGAAGCCCCCAAATACCCTAAATCCTCAAAGGTTTCCCCAAGCCATCACGTGTTCCACAGGGCCCCAACCAACAAGGACGTCCATCTGCAAGGCCTTTGACCGTTGAAGGATTCTCCTATGGTTCGTATCTTGAGGAATTGAAATGCACCTATTCAGTTCGCGGCTGGTGCTTCCAGTATGTCTTGCCTAGTCTGTTCTTCTCCGGTTTGGTTCGGGGGGACGTCAACGTTCTCGTGGGCTGGTGCTCCATTCTGTTCTTTGTGCTCGACTTTTCGACGGTACTCCGACAGGTAAGAGCCGAGCTCTCACCCTTCGTCTTGATCGGAAGAGCCGGATGCTTACGTGTATGTATATATATACACATACACATATGTGTGTATATATATATATATACACACTATATATATACACACACAGAGTGCACGTACCTGTCAACATCCATATCCCGTATTGCGGTGCTACAAGAATGTAGGCTCAAGGGAAGTTTGACCTAACCGACGGATCTCGAGACACTCGAAAATATCATGTTTAGTATCAGGCCTTCGGGAGTAGGGGCCTGAGCCACCCAAAAAGTTCAACTAAGCCTCCAATAAACTCCTCCAACAGCCCCTGTCTCTCGCTCTCTCTCTCTCTCTCTCTCTGCCTCTCTCTCGTTGTCCCTCTCCCTCTCCTTGACTCTCTTTGTACATATATGTGTGCACATACCACGTGCTTGTTTCTCTCGTCGTTTCTCGCTTTTGTGTATATGTGCACGCCGGTGGTCGGTGCTGGAGGGGAAAATGCTCTAAAATGGAATCCCCTTCAATGTGTCCACCACCATGAACGGACCTTCAACGGTTGTTTTCTTGGCTTAGGGTTTAGGGTATCCCTCCTACATGTCGGCCCAGCCCCGTTCCAACCCTAGCTTCAAAGCGGCTGAATACCACCGAATCTGCATCGAAAACCACGCAAGATCAAAAGATGTCGCATGCCTCCTGAAGCGTGTCGACCGTAAGCTTTGAGGTGCCACCGGCTGCATCGACCTCGCACACCCTATACCCTCAACCACCTACCCCAAGCCCCCCAGAAACGCCAATCAAAGGACTTATCTAAGGAAATCATAAACTGCAACCCTAAAGAGCAGATCTTCCTTTTTTAGAGGGGAGGGGGTAAGGTATACTCCACAACCTACATGTTTTTGGGGGTGGCTTTCCCCTGTCTAGGCGCAAAAGGTGTAACGCAAAAGGGATGAATAGCCGCAGTGTCAGTAGCAGTGTTCAGAATACTTACAGTAATCGATACTGACGGTGAGTAGTAATTGTAGCCCAGCGCATGGGAGCGGGGCAGGCGCGATTAACCTTTGTTTGATGCAGAAGCATGATTACCGGAACCAGTGATTCCATCTGAAACGGAAAGGTGGGAGGGGTCGAAAACGAAACTGGGAACCCCGAAAAGGCCAAAAACAAAATACTGGAAAGACTCCAGCATTGTTCCATGTATCTTATTGAACAGGGGTCTGGATTTATTCGTTTCTGCTTCCGTTTTCGGCTTGGGGTCTTCCAACCTTTCCATCTCCGGTCCCGTGCTATGTTCAGGCGTTCATAGAACTCACAGACTTCGAAGACGGCAGAAGGAGGAACGAAAAGCAAAACGGAAGCGATCTCGACGATGGAAACTTGAATGGAAGCCTGACTGAGCGGAACTGACAAGCCCAACGGACAACGGAGTGGAAGTGAGAACGGTGGCTTTGGTCAACCGGAAAGCAGAACACACACAAAAAAAAACAGAAGCCAGAACTGGAAGATGAAATGTGCCTGCCTGACCCAATGCGTGCGCCACAGAGTACTCTGCTACAGACATCCCGGCTTGCCATAGAATCCACAACCCTAAACTAACTGAACCCAAAACCGAACCCGAAATCCTAGATCCTACGTAAACCAAACCCTACATCCTAAACGTGAAGCCCCAAAGCCCTAACTCCAAGACGATGTGAAGCTTCAAGATCCGGATCCGCTCCTGCCTTCAGAAGACCAATTATCGAGGCCCACGATGATTCGATCAGCATCTCCTTGCAGTATGGAGCATTGGGATAGTATAGGGGCCTTGTATGGTGATTTTTAATGCTCTGACACACCCCAACACTCTAAACCATAAAAATCCCTACATCCGAAAGCCAAGAACCAGAAATTAGCTTCGACTTCCAAACCTTCCTTGGGCGCCTGGAGATGGGGCTGTTGCATGGGTTGGGGGCCCTGGCATGATCCCAAAAGCCTGAACTTCAAAGGGGAAAAGGAGGGACCCTTAGTGGGGACCCTTACCCTACAGTGGGGCGATATGGTGGGTATGTAATACCTATATTACGGGTATATACCTAGGGGTCCTTATTAACGGTCCCAAGCTTTGGCTTGATTTGGCATCCGCTTCTTCGCGCAAATACAGGATCTTGCGACTCAGCTCCGTCAAGAATACATATTCACCGCGACTACGATGCAAAGCTTTCGAGATATCGATATGGAGAGTCTATGGTCTGCAGATCAAGAGAGTAGGACTAGGATGCATGGGAGCTTGTTGAGACTCTGGCAGCTATGCATGCCTATTTTTCTTGTAATCACTCCACAGGTGGTCCTGCGGGAAGGGACACCCGCGGAAATCCAGGGAGCCATCAGCGCAGAAAATGGGTGTTTGGTAGATCCTGGCATGGGTTTAATATAGGGGCCTTAATAATTAGAGGAGGGTTTTGGGGCCAATTATATTTTTTATAATAACCCCAAAGTAGTATTGGTAATTGCTTAGGCCCTATATTCGTCGATAAGGCTAAGTGCAAGGGTCAGGGATTGCAAGCATTCGAAGGTGCGCAGGCTGCTGGGGCTCTAGAGATACCACGGAGACGGGGAACTTGCCATCCTTCTAGCTGGAAGCCAATCTAATCGAGATCCTGTCAGTACTGATGGACAAAATCCTGCATGACCCTAAGGATCCTAAACTATGGGAATTGTGGTATATTCCTTATAAAGGGTACTGCAGGATTTTGCCCATCAACAGTATGTCCCGTTCCTGTTCCAGGCCTTCCCTCCCACCACTCCTCCCGCTCCTCCTGCTGCCGCGTGCTGAGACTCCTTTTTCCTACTATTGCAAAGACGACGACTGCGACTACCACCAAGGCTGCGACTTCGAGTGCGACTACGACTACAGCTACGGCTATGGCTACTACGACCACGGCCATACATCACTGGCGACGACGACGACTGCTGCTACTACCACTACTACCACCACTACCACCACTACTACTACTACTACTACTACTACTACTACTACTACTACTACTACTACTACTATAACCTGTTCCTGCCCCTATCACTAGCTTTAGCAGCATTTGCAGTACTTGGCGCACCACTAGACATAGTGGTATTCTATAAGTATTGCCAGCAGCACTTGCATGTCTAGCATGCCTAGGACTGTCGTGTTGTTGCGTCTTCTTCGACGCCCTGAATAGTGCAGATGCCGTCGACCTTTCTACTGCCATTATTACCTCTTTGAGGCCTCTTGATGTGACCCGGGGGCGACACTCTGTCGGCGCCATCCAGAAGTACCACCAAGGGTTTAGGGCTGAGGGTAATCGTCACAACAATGAAGGTGATAATTGGGCTTAGGGTTTCAGGTTTAGGGCTTAGGGTTTAGGGGTTTATAGGGCTTAGAGGAACAGCTGCAAACAGCAGCCATCAGCTCAACATCTGAAAATGATAAAGTCGGCCTTGTCTATTCCGCAGCCCAGTCTGACCCCACTCTGCCAGCTTAACAAGCCGAAACTCAGAAAACCGTAGAGCCTGAATCCTTCATGAGGCTAGGGTTCGCAGCTTAGGCTTTACGGTTTAGGGTGCCTCAACGCTGAACCCTAATCACCCCCCTTTAGGATTTCAAGATAAGGGCTTCCTGTTGTCTCCTAAACCCTATAAACCCTGAACCCTAAACTGTTTTTCTTCCTGTCGCGGAGTTGATGCCAGGTTCTGAAGCAGCGAGAAGACACGCTCCACCCGCTCGGGCCTAGTCTCCACCTGCATATTTGGCATTTTCAGCTGCTGCTTCATGCTATGGTTTTGTTACAAAGTTGTGGGTCTGAAAGGGGAATGCCGATCTCGGTGTTCGGTGTCTACTGGGTCGGGACTTGTCTGCAATGGCTTTACCTGTTGATTGTCGAAACTTGCTCAAGCTGTCTAGAAAGTTCTGCGGGTCTGTAAAGAGGGCGGGGAAGTCTCCTGGACGTTCAGCCACGTGCGTAAACTGCGACGAAGGTTCCGAACACGAAGCAAGCACTTGTCACGATTTCTCAATACCCTAAACCTTTCAAAGCCTCTAGACTAATTATCAAGCTCCGTCGAACCCAGTTACCCCCATGCACTACCAACCCTTCCTTCGCAAACTCCAACATCTCAAACCCCTACCCCGCCTAAAGCCTCAACCCACAAACCTTCAACCCTAGCCCCGCAGCCCTGTACCCCTTCACCGCCTAAACCCATAAAACCCAAAACCCGAGCTGCCAAATCCATAAGCATGAAACTTCGAGCAACCTAAATTACAAAACACTTCACCGTAAACCTACTCCCTAAATCCTAACCCAAAATCCAAGATTCCCTAAATCCTAACCCAAAACCCTAAACCCTGGCCCTAAACCCTTCACCGATTCGCAGCCTGCGCTTTTCTCTCTCATCTTAAAGCTGCCACTTTGCAAAGGGTTTGGTTGTATTCGTCGTCTCTTGCTGTCTCGTCAGAGTATGTTACCAGTTGTCAGTGGGACCCTCCCACGAAGTCCTGCACGCGCTGACGGTGCGATCGAAGCACCTGCATGAACAGGAGTGTTTAGGCCACTTTGCATACTATTCTTCACTGTACCATACCACTGTACTAATACTATATATCACCATACTATACTGATGCAGTTTGCTATACTATACTATACAAGCTATACTAAACGAATGCCACTCCGAAACAAGCAGACATGCAGCAGGAGCAAGTACTAGCACAAGACGATGCTTCTTTTAAGACGTTGCGTCGTAGACCCGTCTCAAAAAGGCATGCAAGGGCTATGCATCTAGCACAACAAAAGCATGAGATGATTCGCCGGGAGTTTCTGTGGATCTTCGTTTGTGGCTTGTGAATTCCGGTTCTCTGCTTGGGTATGCACGCACTTGTGCCGAGGCTGCACTACCACCAGCCCCTAATAGGACTTCGGGCCCAGCATGAATCTAGGTCCAGGTCCGCGCAGTGTCTGTATATACATATGATCATATGACCATATGTTTATGCCATATGTGTGTTTTGTGAGGTCATACATTTGTCTGTGAGACACTCGATTTGCCTGTGTTTGGCGGTGTGCGTACGAGGACGAGAAATCGCGAGCTAATGTATGTCTCTGTGTGTGTGTGTGTGCCCATGTACCTTGTGTTTGCGTCTGTCCGCGTGTGGACCTTGGTCTTGCTCCCTATTCACGTACTTGCGCAAACACGGTGCATGACATTCCGAGCTGAATCAGCAAGACTAAACATCAAATCCCGGCACCTAGTTAATCTCCAAGGCTTCCATCCCAGGCACGATTCCGTATATGAGTGCATGCTTATTCTGCAGCCATGGTTAGGGACTCTTATGTTATGAGAGTTTTCTAAATTGGGCGTGCCCTGGGGACTGCTAAGCTTGGGATTTTCAGCCTCTGCCAAGCATTCGTGTGAGCTCTGCTGCACCACGCGCCGGACGTCTTCCCATGTCCTGTCTCTGTCTGGTTCTCTCTCTCTCGCAGTCTCTCACTCATTCTCTGTCTGTCTCTGTCTGTCCGTCTGTCTCACAGTCGTAATCGCAGCAGCAGCCGTAGCAGCAGCACTAGCAGCAGCAGTAGCAGTAGAAGCAGCAGGAGCAGCAGTAGCACTAGCAGCAGCAATAGCCGTAGCAGTAACGATAGCAGCAGCTGTGGCCGTGGTGGCCGTGGACGTAGCGGCGGCCGCTGCAGTAGAAAAGGTAGCAGAGTAGCAGCAGGACAGCAGCAGATATAGAGACTCACTGTTGCGATTCCTCTGTTACAGAGCCTTCCTTTGAAGCTCCCAGGTCTGTATAGGCTTAAGCCTTACAGACATATAGGTCTTCTCGGGGCATTGTATTGGAGGGTTGAGCTGCTTTTGGGGAGGTAGCTATGAGAGTTTAGAGGGAGACGGCAACCGACCCTGAAACCAAACCGGTTTCGTTTAGATAGGATCTACCTAGAGGCTCCATAGTAGTTCCTTTTTGGGTTTCATATATAGAATCCTATAACGTAATCACAAAAAGGAACTACTATGGAGCCTCTGGGTAGGGCATCGGGGGCCTAACGCTACACTGGGTTGGCCTTTAAACACCCTGAATTTTTTTTATATATAGGGCCCCTTATAAACCCAAATAGGGAAAATGAAAAATGTCCCCAAATCCAACCTAGTACACGGAAAAGTCTATGGGTCACGGCTCTTGAA